GTGATACTAAATGGTACAATCATAATCTTTGAGCAATTCCATCCATCGACGTTGCCTTAAATTGAGATCATGCTACTACAATATACATCAAACTCTTGTGATTAGTATATATTTCAAAGCTTTCCCCATAGAGATAATGGCGCCAAATCTTTAAGGCAAATATTATCCCTGCCATCTCCAAATCATGGGTAGGATAATTCTACTCATGCTTCTTAAGTTGCCTCAAGGCGTGCGCTATAACTTTTATGTTTTGCATCAACACATATCCCAATTCAACTCTTGATGCATCACAATATACAACATAACCTCCTAGACCAATTGGCAAACTTAAAATTAGTGCTGACATCAGACACTGCTTTAATCTTAAGAAATTATCTTCACATTCATCAGTCCAGTCAAACTTAGCTCCCTTTCACTTCAACTTTGTCAATGGTGCCACGATTGTCGAGAAATCCTGCACAAATCGATGATAATACTCGGCCAATCTCAGAAAACTTCGAATCTCAATAACTGTACTCGGTCTTAACCAAGTTTGGGTTGATGCAACTTTTTGCAAATCCACACTAATCCTTTCCTTCGATATTACATGTTCGAGAAAACTAACACTCTCTAACCAAAAAGAACACTTAGAGAACTTTATGTACAATTCATGTTCCCGAAGTGTCTGTAACACCATTCTCAAGTGTTGTACATGCTCGTCAGGACTTCAAGAATACACCAAGATATCATCAATAAATACCACCATAAATCTATCCAAATAAGGCCGGAATACTCTATTCATTAAATCCATGAATGTGGCGGGAGCATTAGTTAAACCAAAAAACATCACTAAAAACTCAAAATGTCCATACCTCGTACGGAATGCAGGCTTTGGTACATCCTCTTCCCAAACTCTTAATTTACGATACCTCAAGCATAGATCAATTTTTGAGAAATATCTCGCTCATTGTAGTTGATCAAATAAATCATCGATCCTGGGAAGTGGGTATTTATTCTTAATAGTCAC